CGTTGAGATGCGTGACGATGTCAATTAACCGTTTTAAATATCGAATAGTATCCTTGAAATTACGTTTTTTATTTATTTGTTTTGGTATAGTTTATAATCTACACTGACATCATTATTCACAAAAACTATTGAGACGCGGTATCTTCAGGTCCAGAATGCGGCCATCTTAGTAAAAATAGCCAAAGGGACGTTGCAACAGGTAACAACGTGGCGGCGCACGAAACTAATTTCAGTCTGACATGATTGTTGTCGTAAATTATTATTTTTCAATTAAATTAAGAAACACTGGTTTATACTTCAATGGATGCACATTCACTGATGGGATAGGGAGATCGCGAATTGTTTGCCATGAATATGCAATAACACACACTTGGATTGAATGTTTTTTAGAGGAATTAATTGTTCTCCGTCTGAAAACTTCCACAAGTCCCACATCATAGGAGGAAGTTGGACTGGTAAAAACCTCGACTTGAATACTGTCAATACAGCCAAGTACAAATAATGATGAGATATCTGGAGCACTGTTGTGGTCTGAAATAAGTGAGAGAATTTTTTTTATCACCGCGATTTTACCGCCTTTTAAAGCAATTGTATTGTTGGGATGCTTTTCTGTCAATGTACTATTATTAAATACTATTTTGGTCACTTCGCTGTATTGTTTTCCATCCACTTCGAATATCTTTGCTCCTTCTTTCATTTCGTAAGCTGACACTGTATATTTCCGTTCGATTCGCAGATAATCTGTTGACTCACGTTCTGACAATCGGTTGATGATCTGAATTAGGGGTTTGTGGCGAGACTTAACTAGTTCCTTAAATTGACCAATGTAGTTTTCCCCCCCAAAAGGCTGATATTTCACTCAGAGGTAAATTATAGGTCCTTCCGTCGTCAGGTACATGGATTAAGTTATGGAGACTTAGTACCTGAGAATCAGAGCCATATAATATTCTCAGTTGGTAGAAGAAAGTCCTTAACAAATATTCAGCATAGTCGATGTTAGTCTGGCTGAGATATCGACCGATGAGAATACGACATACCACAAAAAGCAGTAAGTAATGCTGATAGTGATCTTTGGGGAGGATATCGTGAAAAATTAAAGGTCCACCATTGTGCAAGAGAAATCTATACTGCGTTGCTTTCCAACTAGAATAGAACCTGAAGTCAAACTTTTTTCTTTGAAATTCCGCAGGAATATCAGCTGCAATCGCGTCTAGGGAACGTTTCAGTACTCTCTTAAGTTTTACCGTAATTCTTCCACAATTTTTAAGGGACAGCCACTTCACCAAGAGCCAGTTCTGGACTCCACTATACCACAGGTGCATAACGTCTAAAACAACGCATCTCACTTGATCAAACTGTGGGAGTCGATCAAATAGTGATCGCTGTTCTGGATGATGATGCAAAGATTGACGGCGAAGGTTGACTGATTCTCCCGTTCGTTTTGGAGCATCCATTTCTGGATAGACTCGTTTTGAACCTTTTTTTGACGTTTTAATGGATATACCCTTCGTCTCACATCTTTCACATGCATAGAAAGTTCCTGAAGATGTGATGCACTTAATGAAAGCACCTGAAGGGGAATCGGCTATAACACCTAAAAATTTGAAGGTATAGTGCCTTCCATATAAATTAACGCCTTGCTCTGTCAAAGTAGAAATTTCAGTAATAAAATCGTGCATGTAAACATCAGCTGATAGGGGCTTGGCATCACCACAGTAGATTGCCACAACAAATGGCTTGGTGACGTAATTTTGATGATGAATTTTAACGGCAATCGACCACACTGTTTTGGCGGAATTTTTGTACATCTGCATCCCATCGATGTGAACAAAAACTGCAATTTCATCTTCTATGTAAACATGCGGCAAGATTGCTTTCTCCTGGCCATTTTTTATGCCTAACCAGAGATATTCTCCTTCAAGATATTGTTGCTCATCTTCAGACAACAATGCACTTGTCATTGACATAATTTTCCTACTATGGGTAGTACCAATAAGAGTCTGAGCTGATTTAGGTAGATCCTGATGGTATTCTCTTAATATCACCAATAATTCTGAGACATCACATAACCTTAAATTATTAAGATTGTGTAGAACCCATTGTTTAAATATTTACGCATTGAAAGATTCTTTCTTGAATGAAAATGTCAATATCCAGCTTCTTTCAACATCCTTCTCCGAGGAGGCTTTTCTGACATTCATGGATGCAATCATGCTCAAAAGAAATGCAGGAGCAAAACCTGCAGGCTCTGTGGGAGCGTCAATAATAAAAGGTTATGTAATTGGATAACCTGTGAGTCATGTTTGTCGTGTTACCATAAGAAATGTGTTGAAGTTCAAGATCGTAAAACTCCGAAAGTTTGGTTCTGTTCTGCCTGCCTCAAACGAGGTAGCAGAATGAAGTGATTATTATATATACTCCATTGATTTAGCACCTTGAAAAAATAAGTCGAAGTCGCGATTGGATTTGTACATTCCTTCAACACAAAATCCTTTCTAAAATAAAGCATTGAAATATTATTTAATTAAGTATAAATCAACAGTGTTCTTAATGTAAACGGAAAAAAATATACAGTTGAATCAAGTCTATTTTAACCGTATTTTAAGTATAAAATATTTTTGTCGCTCAGTCCGTGGAGCAACGCTTCACGACCGCTACGCGGTCGTAAAACCCTGCCTACGCACTGAATAACAAAGAATATTGTTCGAAACACGGTCGTGAGAACTTTTCGACCTCATATGATTACAAAACTCGCTTTTGGCTCGTTCTGTAACCTCATATTCGGCAGAAAAGTGCGTATGGCTTTTGCCATACGTGTATGGCTTTTGCCATACGTGTATGGCTTTTGCCATACGTGTATGGCTTTTGCCATACGTGTATGGCAAGAAAGGGCTTAAACATATGGTAAACGTTACCTTGGGCGTATGGCAATTGCCATATACCGTGTCTCCAGACATTACCAAAAAATAAAGGAGGATCCTCAGAAGTGTGCCAGTAATTCTAACACAGAATGTAGTTATGATAATTCAGAATATGTTGATCGGGATAGTGTAAAACTGTAAAAATTTAGAGGTTAACTCAGTGCTAAATCAAGATGTTCACTTAAATTCTAACGATACTGAAATACTCCCGGAATAAGTGGTGGACCCTTGTGATCTCCGACCCACCGATTTACAGGAAGAACAGCCTGAAAACAATTCTGGAGATGTGCATGCTATGATGGCGAAGACGAATTCTTCAGTAGACTAGAGAGAAGAAATTAGTTTATGCACTCTATGAAATTTGGATAATTTGACACTTATTATGGTGTCTAACTTGCTGGTATCACTGCGAAGAGTAGGTCACAGTGAATTACCGAAAACAGCTTAAAGTCTCATTGGCATAAAGCACAATAGACCTCTGATTGCCATGACGAGTGCTTTTGCAATAGGAGGCGAGTACCTCCAAGGAGAATATTCATGGTTGGGTATTAGGACAGGGTTGATGAAGGTTATTCAACCGGATATATATACTGAAAACACTATTTCAGTTTTTGCACACATAGATGGTATGCAAGTTTATAAGAATCCCACGAAGATCGTATGGCCAATATGTTGGGAATAATTGCTGATTCGCCAGCACGGGCATTCATCAAATTGATTAAACCACCTGGTGCATTTTAGCATGTGAGCGATGCGAGACACCAGGCCAAAGCATAAAGACAAGGAAGGGAACGAAACGGATTTACCCAGATATAATTGCCACCAAACCTACAAGAGAAAACATTCATCGATCAAACTCTACCGTCACATCATCAAGGTTTTTCACCGATTATCAAAATTGCACAATTTGATCCTGTGAACTGTATGATTTTAGATGTTATGGATTTGTGCTACTTAGGCACACAAAAATGGTTGCTGAATAATTGGTTGTCCCCAAAAAATTATGTAAAAATCACAAAGAGCAATTGAGAATGCGTTTAAATGCTTTGTCTCCTTATATTCCTCAAGATTTACAAAGAAAGTTAATTGGAAAGCGACGCATTAAGATTTATTCTGCATTACGCTGGCCCTCTGATTTTTCAAAACATTCTACCGCAAGATCATTATAATCATTATGTCCTGTTAGTTGTTGCGTGTTGCATTTTAACTGATGCCGAGTTAATTAAAAAATTGAAAGAGTATGTCGGGTACTTGTTACGACAATTAGGTTATATGTTGCCTGAATTGTACGGACCAGGTGCTCAGGTGTTAAGCCTGCACAATTTACTTCATGTTGATGGTGACGTTTAAAACGTTGAGTTACCTTTGACAGAAATTTCTGCCTTCTGGGGTGAAAACAACATTGGAACATTTAGAAAACTCATTAAATCGTAGCATAAACCTCTGACTCAAATTATTAACCGAGTTTCGGTACGTGAGTTAGCTGAGTATTTACAAATTGAACGTACACATTTTATTTCAGATTGTGTATTGGATGACAGAGCTTAAATTATTGAATATAAGGATAATAATTATCAACGTTTGAGCCAAATAAAAATTAAAGATTCAACTTTGATGCCAATTTCACCTGACAATGTTGTTATGCTGAAAAATGGTGAAATTGTGCGTATAAATCACACTGTCTCCGATTTCTCCCATACTACTTGTCTCAAAAGTAAAAATATTTTTGTAATTGGACAGAGAGAAACATCGCGTTTTGATTTATTCCCGAATTCAATCTCGGCCATTAACATTGGTATTATTGGTATCAGCGATTCGGCAAAGAAATATGAAATCATATCAGTGTTAGAAAGTAAATATAAATGTGTACTGTTAAATGTTAATGAACAAAAAATAGTAATTTTACTATTGCACGGCCCTTAAAGTTATGTAATAATTGACATTATAGAAATATCTGTTCATAGAAAGAATATTTTAATTCATTTTTTAATTCAGTGTTATTCATTTTCCTATTCAATTTTCATACTCTTTCATGATGTGATTTTCATAACTATAGTCGTATGTTTTCCCAGAGTTACACGGCACTATTTCCGGAATACTCTGCCAGCGGCGCTTACACGCAGTCAGTAAATGCTGGAAAAACGTTGAGCGTCATCCGAAGAACCAGTAAAATTTATCGAATTTGTGGTTTCTTACAGTATATGTGCGTGTTTTTCCGATTGTTTTGGCTTAAGTGGGTTCGTATAAATTCAAAAAAATTCATCATATGCTATTGTAATTTTCGAGGAGGTGAATAAAACAGGTGAAAATTTGATGGATATTGTTCCAATGTCCTAGGTGACTGAAGGAGTCAATGGTGAATTTGTTTGCAAATATTTACCTAACGATTCCTTCGACAGAACAGATTTTTTTTGACAAATAAGACACCAGCCCGCCTAAACTGGCTTGGGTACCCTGTGCAATTGCTCTCCACTGCAGGTAAGAGCGAGAAAATTTATAAAGAAAGAAATTCCATTTCAACGCTGACTTTGTGTTAATTTTTAAGAGTCTTTGGAGAACGCAAAGAGACGATTGAAAATGGCAAAGGTCAAAGTAGACGTTGACACCACAGATGCTAAAGACACTGCTCAAAATAATAAGAAAACGTCGAAAAAAACAGATTTTCCAGCCAATCGGCAACTGAAGCAGATTGCGTCAATGCGAAAATTCGCTGCGGTCTAAATCTCTGCTTCGCATGAAATCAGCGACCGTGAATATAACAGTTCTGAGAGTTCCAAATCGCAGAAAAAAACAGGTATTTGATGCCAATTTTAATCTTAATTTGATTTATTGTAATTTTTTCCTGGACTGATTTTGTAATCGACTGAAAATTGCAGTTAGGTTATTCGTAAAAGTTGATCCAATTGCTGTGATTAGTTCCAGCATTTATAACCGATAGTGGATCTAAATTTTCGTGATTCGATATGGTGATATATTCTATATCATCTCATATAGAATAAATATTGCTTTTTTGGACTCCTCAAAGCTTGGCCTAAAAACATCCTTCCACTTTTCCAGAAGGGAACGGACATACGACATTTTGTAGATTTGTTTGTGTCTCCCAAAAACGATTATAACAAATATCCTCGATCCAAAAACAAATTTCGTTCTGATCAACATTTCAAAAATGTTTCTTGAAATTAATGCCAAAGAATAAGAATCATTGTATGTACAATTCTCCAACGAAAAATGAAAACATCTTGGCTTCTTTATGGAAAAATTGTAAAATTAATTAAATTTTTTTTTAAGTCGGTCGTGTCAGTGTTTGATGAAATCTTCTTTTGGTTTTTCTTTTATTAATGAAAACGTTTACAATTTATGATAGAGCACTTAATAAAAAAAAAATTATAAGATCTTTTTACAGGTCACGTTGATCATTTACTCGAAGAAAGAACAAATAATGCATCACAGTTGGAACATTTGAGAAATCCAATTGTCCAGAAACACTCGTCGATGTCTGTCATTCGGGATAAGCGTTCTCGTGGTACACATTAATACAAATATAATATTAATCTCAAAATTTCAGTGAAAACTGATTTTTGTGATGGGTTGTTGACTCATAAGAGTTTTTTGTTTTTCTGCAGCAAATACGTGAAATCATTCACTCAGAAGTGGAGAGCGCTAAATTGAGTATACTTCATGATCTAGCGGCAATAGTTGGTCAGATGCAGAATACAGTTCTTCAAACTAACATTCTTACTGCTCCACGTGGATCGCCTAATGAGTTGATCAAAAAATTGAATACGAAATTTGCTATCCAACCTCTCAATGATTTCTTGGCTTTGGAAAAAAAACTTGAAGATGAAAGCCAAACAGATGCCCTGGTTAGTCTGAAGACTCGTTTTCTTCTCAATTGAACAAACTATTTTTAGTTGCCTATTTTCAGTGTTCTTTGTATCAGCTGCTTTTGTCCGGATTCAATAAACCTTCAAATTGTGCGAAAACATTGATGGGCCATACTCTATTAAAAGAGTTATCACTGCAATACTCTAGTTCAGGTAGAGATATAAATGGCAAGGACAACTTGACGTGGAAAGAAACAAAAACTAGCCAAATGATGAAACAAGCCATAATCACTCAATTTAATGATCAAACGGAAGAGGATATTCAGAAGCTGAAAACTACCTGGCTGTCAGGTGCAGGAGACAGAGCCGGTGGTCGTCGTGAACGAGATGAAAAACGAAAAGATCGAAACGGAAATGAAAACTAAAGATAAATACCTGTTCATCGCTCCTTGTGTTACCTATTCCACATGTTTATTATTTTATAAGGTGAACTATCGAGATAAAGACTGTTTAAGGCTACTAACATTTAATAGTTTTTTGGGATGAAAAGTTTGATTAAAGTTGTATAGAAAAGATATCAGAATTATCAATATTCTTAAAGAATATACTAGAACAAAAACACATCTATGCTATATTTTTCCGAATGTATGTCTAAAAAAACAGTTGAACCATTTATAATAACTAAAAGAAACGTTCTATCATGAAAAAGCGTTTTTTATACCAGAATGGCATTACAGCGGTATTGATTGCCACAAAATCTTTGAAAAATTATCTTTAGCATGGTAGTATTTGGTAATTGACTCACTAGAATTTGCTACTAATAGGAACATATTCTTTGAACGTTAAACCCAGGACAGAATAGTACAACGGTCAATATTAGAATTTACAATACCAACATTGAACCAATTGTAGACCAATACCATTGTTGGTCCATTGTTGTTTGCCACTTACGGGCCAGTGTTATCATCCAGATATTGGGCCAATAACAAACCAATTGATTGGTCTATAATTGGCCAATATTGGTACTTGGCACACCAGTCTTGGTTCCATTGTGGGCCAAGACTGCAACCTTTATTGGGCCGACATAATCTCAATGCTTGGTCTATTATCGATTCCCATTATTGGGCCGACGGTATCATCTAAAAGTCGGACCGATGATCGACCATGTTATTTTATTTGTTTTATTTTAAATGAATACTGCGCCCCACCGCACTCCATTTGAGGACATACTCGTCGGATTTCGGATGTCATATTCAGGGACTGATTTTGGACATAGCCGTGGATGGAGCCTCAATTCAGTCGTCATGGACACGGATGTGATGCAGTTGGCAAGATACGTTGCTCATTGGAGTTCAGCAAGACAATTGATAATCACGTGTAACAGCAGAGTTATTAATTCTGTTAAGGAACGTTCAATGTAAAAAAATGATTTTGTTTAGTTTTGATAGCGCTGAGAATTTATTCTCTTTCATTCTCTATAAGAAAACCCAATTTAAAGCATTTTAAAGCGCGAGCGTATTCGTTCCGAGTTAATTGCACCTGTAGCGCATACCTGAGTGATTTTGATTGGTGAATAATTATGTCTTTACTACCAATCAGAGTTGCTCATTCCGTTCTACACTTGTTGCGTGTGTTCACATATTTCACCAAAATCACTTTCCGGTTGGTGGGCACTGAGAGGCGATCTGTAGCCAAATTGACAATTTTCTGCCGCTGCAGAGACGCCATCCTTGATTATCGCGACGTTTGAAGTTTAATTGCTCGCAGAGGATAATTAATGACTCTGTAGGTGAGTATGGCGAGCGATTCTTCGGTATGATCTATTAATTTTCTGTGGATAGAGATTTTGTGATTTTCTTTATTGATATTTCGAATATCCGATTCCAGTAGGACTGCAAGTTGAAATTCACATTCGAGAATCTCTAGCTATTTTGATCACTGAGCCACCGCTGTTTCTCTCTAGTCAATTTTGAATAACGTACTGCTATCTCATTTATTGAACAGAATTATTACTTTTATTTATTTGATTTCCAATTATTAATATTACGATTTTTAGAATGTTTCTACGTGTCATGAATTTTTGATAGTTTCTTGCTACTGCATTTTATGTAAATTCGATTGCTTGAAAGTCTCGGGAACTCGAAATTATTTGTCTTGAATTTGTATCTGTTTGGTTTTCATTGTTACAGATGGAAGGTTACATAGCCTTATCGATTTTTGCATTAGTGTAGTTTCTAATCATTGACTTTTATTCTGACTAGTTTTTGCAAAACTTTCTGATTAGTTTTGACTCATCTTGACTTGTAGCAATGGAGTCTCGAGACTCACTTATTCATTTTATTTCATTTTATTTTGACTTTATGCTAATTTATTTATTTTTTTTTCTCATAAAATTTTGCAATACAGGATACTGATATCGTGTTTAAGGAGACAAAAGTGACTCTTTTGTAAATTTTAAATGAAATATTCGGTACTACTCCATAATCGTTGTTCAAGGAGATTTTTGTCATTATTTTTTATATTGTTTCGAATCTTTTACGATTTATCAAAATTCATCTTTTCGATAATGTACTTAAATTTATTTATTTTTCTGAAGATACCAGTCATATCTTCTTTCATCTTCTTTGTAAACTAACTTTCGACGTATCGAGCGGCTGCAGCTGTTGAAGCTCAAAGTGGAGAAGGATTTCGTTGCGACGATCATTCCGTCAAATGACCTGGTACCTGACACTTTCTTTCGCATTTTTATTTTGAGGTTTTTGATGCCAGAAGGCTGAGTAACAGAGGAAGGGTTCTCTGAACCCCCCGAAATTACACCGCAGCAGTCATATATCTTTCTATGGTTCATTGTCGACGTGTACCAGCATGCATTGCCATGGGACCAGATAGACTGCCACATTCACATCATTAGTCAAATTTTTGATAGTTGGATTTAGATTTCGAATTAAATGAAACTATTGGATTCGATTCCATCCGGACACTATTCGCACACGCCTAATGTAAAATTCGCAGTATAAAAAATAAACCTATAAATTTGCTGTTATAGTTCAATCACTATATTCAAAATTTACTGAATAATCACTCAATGGAATCAATGTCAAATTATTTTGGTTTCTAACCTTTTTCCTGATCTCGTTCTGGAGATCGACAATAGTTATTACCTTCGCCTGTTCTCATACGCGCATCCTGAAGTTTCACCGATATTAATGGGGGCACCAGCTAGCTTTTTATGGGCCCAAAGCTAACAGAAACCAAAAGGAACCAAAGTCATGGTGAGTAGGTGGAGTGACCGGAGATCGGTAAGCCTCGTTATCCGAAAAACATAATCCAAAATCCAAAAGATATCCAAGAACAAGAGCACGGAAGGACTGGAAAAGTGGACTTAAGCCTCATCCTCACGACAACATAAAATCCCTAAATCGATAAAATCCATTAACTCATATTAATTCATAAAATCCGTAAATCCATGCAACGGGACCATAATCTACTTACAAAAAAACGACCAGCGGAAGGCTGAACCCGATGATGCATGGAACGGAAGCAGGATGGCCTAACTGGCCCAGGATGTTAATTCGGGAAGAGAAGGGCAAGGTCCACAGATACACGGATCAAACCCAGACATTAACCGATACACAAAAAAAGGAAGAGCAACGATTGAGTAGTGTAAACGCGATAGAATACCGATAGCAAGTCCGTCTGATAATCCGAGGCGCCAATGACGTCGTCTCGAACCTCAACACGGAAGCCATACAAAATGCGTATTTCTAACTGTTTTTTATTTTATTTCTCGACTGCTCCATCTCTCTTATTATAAATATGTAACCCGTGCATGCGACACGTGTGGTGCGCTACGCACTAAACTGCTCACTTGGGCGCTACGGCTCAACACGGGCGAAATTAAGAAAATGAAAACTTCATTGCGTTATAATCCTAATGCTTGTGTCAAGTATTCAATATTCCCGAACCAAACTACATACATCAGTAACCGACTGAGGTTTAGCGCAGCCGGGTATGTATAGACAATACAACTACTCCCTCCACTGCCACTCAATGATTTTGGATAATTCTCTCGAGCAGGGGAGAACGAATTAAGATATTGCCATTAGTTACACTCTATCAATTATCTATGCTCTTTTCAATCGTGTAATATTCATATTTTTCAGATCGATAGTTTGGAATCTATGCGCATAGCAATGGTCCTATATTCACATTCTCACGATTCCATATCTATGATACCCTGGAGTTCGATATTACAGATGGATCCAATAATCGAATAATTTTGATTCTTGAGTTTTGCGAATATTATTTTCAAAATGAATATGGACGACATGTGGAATCTTAGAAAGTCGGAAAAGATGTTGGAATGGTAGGACAGTAGACAAGGTACAAATGAATTCACTGGCGTGAGAAACACCGCTGTAGGAAAACGTAAATGCCAAGTACTTGAGTTCCATTCCATATCTATTCCTCTCCAAAATTCCAAAAGGCAATTCTTTGAAAGCTCTAAATTCAAAAATAAAAGAAAATTCAATAGTCATGGTTTCAAGTCATACAATCAAAGCACTGTTGATTTCAAAAGTTTCTGTGTATCATGTATTCAACACATGTGAGGTTTCCTTTGTCCATTGTCCCGCTGGACAGAGAAGCCCGAACCCTTCCGAGAGGAAAACCTGCGACGTCATACGCTTGCCTTTTTTCCATTTTCATTTCTCTGCTTTCTCTTAAATTTCACTTTTGTAATTTCCACTGGACGAGGATCACGTGCATAGCTAGGATCACTAGTGAGAGTTACTGGACCCAACCCTTAGAATTTAAGTTGAAGATAAATTAACTCTACTGCACGCCTAGTATTGCTAGCTGGGAGGCCTGGATTCTGATATCTCCTTCACAAAATTATGCTGTTTCATGTGAAATTATGATATCGAGGAATGGTAAGGTAGGAACCGCTCAAGCAGTGCAAAATTTCAAATGCAGAACTTTCAAATCGTCTTCATATCTTCTATGAGCAGTTTATTATCACAAATATAAGATATCTACTTGTAACATCTCAGATATCACTCACAGAACTAATAAAAGGAAAAACTAGAAGGAATATACAACGTCGCATTCCTCCGGAACATCTGCATTTCAAGAACCACAATTCCAGTAATTTTGACAAACGGAGCTGGGTCCATGAACCATGAGCTGAAAGAGCTAGAAATCATGCCACTATCCCAACTCCAAACAAATTTTTAATTCCCCAAGAAAGCTGTAGTATGGCCTCCCAAAACGATTAGACACGAAAAACTATTGGAATCGATCCGGCTATGGTTTAGTGTTCAAACATTATTTTATTAAAATTCTGTGTGTTCGTGACTAGTAATAGAGAATATGAATTAGCAAGTATTCTGGGGATGTAATGTCGTGAGAATTAGTGGTCAACGGCGGCAAATAGTAAGAGTGACTCAATCAATAACAATTATCAGTGACTATGATAATTTGTAGGACTCAAGTCTTATTCGAATTTCAA